GGTTAAATTTTTTTTTTTTTTAAAAACTACCCCGGTTTTAAAAAAAATTTTTAACTTTTTAAAAATTTTAACCCCCCCCCCCCCCCCCCCCCCCCCCCCGTCACATCAGAAAGGCGTCTTTATTGCTACGGTAACAGAAAATACATAGATATTTAAAACCTTCAATTTCGACAGTGAGCCATTGCTATTACTGATTAGCTTAGCTAAAAACAATTAGTATTACTGAGACGGGTCTCAAGTAGTAATTGTAAAGATTGAATACTTATACCTTGACTTCAATAGTCACCTTTCTTTTATCATGGAATGTAGTGATTTGATTGGTTTGTATATAGCCTAGACAGAAACCCTGATTGGCTGTATTCGCTGCCGCAAAATCCAATCAAATGGCTGAATTCCGTAATACAGGTTAGAGCAGGAAATAATCTTGACGTTATTGAGGGGCGGGGCTGTCAAGCTAAGTGATTTTATATTAAAGCCTCATGACAAAAATTATACCAGATCTAGTGATAAGGGTTTAACCAGAAGCGCTGACTGTGGCATGAGAAATTAGAGAGGATTGAAACACACAAGTTGACAAGCTAGCAGATGACAATCCACCTCACTATCGATTGAGTTATTCCACTTAACTTAAAGAAGATTCAAACCCATGGCACCTAATAGTCTAGCAGATCACTTGCAAAATGCAATTCGCTATGAACTGGGCTGCTATTGTTACTGTGTTGTCAAGGCTTTGGATTTTGTTTTTATTCAGTTTTTTCGACAATATTTCAATGATAAAAGAATTCCCTTTATAAAATCAAAAAGTTAATGTTTTTTAACAAAAATATAAAAGTTTATGTAATTTAATATTAAATTTAAAAGTGATGTTCAAACAAACAAATGAAGATTAAATTTCAAGGTAGAAATATTTCCATTAACGTATTAAACCTGAGAATTATTCTGGTAGAAAAAACTAAAAAATAAAAAATAAAAATCATCAGACTTTGATGAAATTTGTCATTGTAAAAACATAAAGAAGTTTGAGTCAGAATTCTGAGAGAAGTTCTGGAATCTAAATAGCCGTTAAACGAATCAAGGGAACGCCATCTAGTGTGGAATATCAGTTTTATTTTTCTCATAAAAGATGATTAGTTGTGAGATGTAGGATGATATGGAGAGTTTTCTCCCCGATTTACCGTGTTTTATTACCCAACATGTTAGACTTTCCGATAGAATAATTTCTTATCTCACTCTCACCTAGCTCTTTAACTGTAGAAATTAAAGAAATGTTTCAGAATATCTAAACTTTTCTTTCTCATTGAATATTCTTATTAATTATATGCGTATCATGGCAACAATTCTCTCCACGCTCTGGAACTAAAACTTCCTGAATGTAGAAAATTTAAAAAAGAATTTTGTTGAATATTCTAAACTTTTCTTTCTAATTTGCAATTCTTATTAATTATATGGGTATCGTGGAATGTCGTGAAACACAGGATGACACAATTCATTGATCGTACCAGTAATAATTTAATTAACAAAGGATAATTAAAATATTGGTCAATTCGCTCTGTATTCTTCCCAACCTTTAATTCAAAACATTGCCACAGTTTTATACATCAAATTTTCAAGTATTAATTAAAATGATTATAATTCATAAAAAGGCTAAAATACTCTTACATTTAGTGTGACCCATCATAGTTAATTTTCTGTTTAAATACTCTTATATTTAGTGTGACCCATCATAGTTAATTTTCTGTTTAAATACGTTATATTTAGTGTGACCCATCATAGTTAATTTTCTGTTTAAATATGTTATATTTAGTGTGACCCATCATAGTTAATTTTCTGTTTAAATACGTTATATTTAGTGAGCAGTTTACATCAGAAATATTGTGTTTTATTATACATAAAAGTTAAAATTGAGGGTGTTGTGTATTGAATTGGTGGAATTTTTTAACATTTTATTTGGGTAATAACACATCATGAGAGCTAATCATTATTTTATGAGCTCTATCATATATTTTTTAAGACCTTTCCCTTTTATGTAGGATTACCAGAAGAATAGGGGTTACTGTTTATGACACAAATTTGGAAAAAATCAATAATTTTACAGTTCTTTCTAAAAGAGAATTCTTTGATGTTGGATTATCACACATTGAGATTGAATTTTGTCACGTTTAACTTCAAAATTAAATATTTTTGTGAAGCCTATTAATTTTTATGACCTCCCATGATTTTTTGGATTTAAAAATCCCTTTGAAGTTGGATTATCTAAATCTGGTTGGTAAGGACCCAAAATTTTCCAAGAGGCAATAATGTTTATTTTTATGGTCAACTGTGTTAAGACTTTATAAAGTTCAGGGTTCAATTTTAGCACTTAAGGTAACAATATTATTCATTGTTATTCATATTGATAATTATTTTATATTTTCAAGAATATAGATACCACTAGCTTTCTGAGGTATTATCCCCTTTGATGTAAGATTATTAAGATTAATTATAGATTTATTACCCTATTTTAAATATAGATAACAAAAACTATGAAATGTTTTACTTCGAATTTTTGATAGAACTTAATAATTTTTATTATCATACACACTTTTAAATATAACCTAACTCCTTTGACCGATTTTACAGAAACTGAGATTAGATTAAACCAAAATTTAAGGAAGACTAATAATCTTTATTGGATATTCCCTCAGAATCAATTAAAACCCCTTTGATGTAGGATTATCTTATAAAGGGGTGGAGGTATTTCTACATTAAGCATCTCTCTATAATATTAAAGTGTTTATTTGTAACACATTAAGATATTGCTGGTGGTTTTGATGTATATACAGTGTTTAATATAATTATAACCCCCAACACCTGTGACTTCACCCCCCTAATTAAATTACCTTAATTAACTTGCTAATGACCCCCAAAATGGTGACAATTAACCCCCATATGTATATAAAATTAAAACAATACCCCCATTTTAATTTGGAGAATTTTAATGACATCTTTGGCAGTTTTTGGTTGGGTATTTTTGTGGGATACAGCTGGGACAGGGTGTAGAATTATTATACTCTCTGTGGGGGTACAGTTTGGATCATTTTGGCAGGTGACCACAAGTTGTTGATCAAACTTAAACTAACTGAGGTCATGTAAAGAACTACTTTTGTTGTTGGAAATAACTGGACAAGTTTTATATTTAATAGAAACACTATAAAGGATAACTTCATGTTCATGGATTTTTGGAACTTGATCTTTTTATGTGGGAATTGGAAAAAATAAAGAGCTTACTTGTGATCTACTTCTGTGTTTATCTTCAAAGCCTTGATATAACAGCAAAAAGACATAATAATAAAAAGGATCTAGAAAGCACAAAAGGCACATAACTGAATGAACTTAACGTTTACTAATGTCATTAGAAGACCATTCATACTTCTCAAAACCTTGTACCTGAACTAATATTCACCAACTTGTGAACAGTATTAATATTGGACTGATCAGTATTAATAAGTAGGTAGATTCAGTTGAGCAGTACTCAGAGAGTTTTAACTGATTATCAACTTGGATGATAACTGAAATCTGATTAGCTTTGATTCAATCTAATATATGACAAATGCTCAAAGACAGATTAAAATCTAAGCAGAAGATCCATCAATTTGAAAGATTCATGTTCTCACTTTTGGAGTTTAAAGTCGTTTCCATAATGGCTGAAAATCAGCTTTGATCCAAGCTGTTTTGTGAAAATTGCTCCAAGGCCTATTTAGAATTATTACACAGTAACTTTGAAGTTCTTAGTGAAATCTACATTATTAAAGATCTATCTATCTTGCTTTGAAACTCTAACGAACAAACTTAAAATCATAAACCAGGGTCACAAATTTTGAGATATAGACTTTTAACTACAAAGTAACAATTTGGATATTTTCCAAGATAAAAGACAAAAGAAGTACATTTTCACCTAAAATCAGTTTTAAGTTTGAAGATCTGTGTTTTTATAAGTGATTATTATTAATTGGTGAATCTAATTAACCACTTTGTCTATTAACTGACTTTTTACTGGTGATTGAAGAAAATATAGATTAGGGTGGTTGAAAGGTAACAAGTTACTATCTAACAGAAGGCTCTGTGTTTTTATACCAATTCACATCCAAGTTAGATCTGAGACTTTCATGATTTGAAATAGAGATTGGAACAGTAAATTTGTGTCAAAAAGGGATTTAACTCTTCAGATGAAATTTGTTAACAATCTAAGCCAATTTAGGTCCAAAAATGAAAGGGATTTGGCGTCTGTGAAGGATTTAAAAGAGTCATTTAAGGATTACGAAGAGGTACCTGTTAGCAACCTGACTTTGTTGATGTCAAAAATAGGATTAGAATTTTAGTGATTTAGATTTGGAATTATTGTCCACTTAGCAACCTTGACACTACCTGAATTTTAGTGACTAGAGTATAGATTTTACTAAATACTGTTGATGCCAAAATTTGACTGATAAAATAAAGTGATTAGATTTTGATTTTAGAAGAAAAAAAGGGAACAGAATTGCTAAATATCCAATTGATGTCAGAAATCAAATATTCATACCTCTGCTATTAACTTTAAACCTATTGGTGCCAACAATAAGTTTATCTGTATAACTGATATCCTATCAATGGTAAAAACTTGGTCAATTGGTGTCAAAAATCAGAAGAACATTTCAGTGATTAACTTTTAGATTTAAAACTGGACTTAGACAAGTTTTAACCAATCAGTGATTAGATTTCTAGAGTTAACTAATCACCCATCTGGATTAAAATAAACCAATCTCAAGTCACTTGATGTCAGAGTTTTGGATTAAAGTGAGCAGTGGTCAGGGATAATCAGTTGTTAAACCTGGTTTCAGATTAACGTTAACCCCTAGTTTCAACTGCTGTTCACTTTTTATCATTTGACCAAGTAACAGCAAACATTGTGTAACTTTATGGAACATTGTAGGAACCAGTAACTGTTTGAGATATTATATATAAGACTTAACCAAACATTGTTCACTTTTGAATTATTTGACTAAGTTTTGAGAAAGATAATTGATAGTTGAATATTAGAAGATCCAGTAAACATTGTGTAATTTTGTGGAACTCTGGATGTATTTGGACATTGTGGAAAGACATTTGTATTTGAAAAGGGAGTTAATTGAGCTAGAAAATTGGATTAACTGAACTGCAAAAAACTGGAAAAACAGATAGTTGATGTTTAAAACAAGGCATAAAGTTAGCAACCTAAAGAGGGACATCACAGAGTTTCTATAAAGAAGGATCAGTAAAGGGAGATAACTTAGAAATGATAATATGGAGAGCTGTGCCCAGCAACTAGAAAGTTGTACTCAGAATGTACAAATATTACAAAACGCTACCAAACAAATCTTTGAACTTTATAAAAAATATAAAAATGGTAGGGTCTATAATATCATAAACAGAATTGTTTATTCTCTTTATTAACAAAAATATCTTATATAAAGTGGAGTAAACATATTTATATATATTCTTTATGATTCTAAACATAAATATAAACAATGTATATTATATTGAAGTTGTTTTAGTAATAATTTATTTATAATTTTAAACTAACCATAGCAGTTACTCTTCTGTTCTTAATAGCTAGCTCAATAAGGTTCCATCTCATCAGCACTATCAGGTTCCACTTCATCAGCACAATCAGGTTCCATCTCATCAGCACAATCAGGTTCCATCTCATCAGCACAATCAGGTTCCATCTCATCAGCACTATCAGGTTCCACTTCATCAGCACAATCAGGTTCCATCTCATCAGCAAAATCAGGTTCCATCTCATCAGCACAATCGGGTTCCATCTCATTAATTCCATCAGTCCATATATACCCTACTACTAGTACTATTTTAGATGATTGTTAAGTAGTAACTTGTTTTTCGTATTAGCTCAGTCAGGTTCAGAAAAATAGGATGTAAAACTCCATTTTCAACTGTAAATATTTATATCGAAATGAAACATTTATTTCAATATTTGTTCCTGTATTTTCAGGTGATGTTAATGGTATTGAAATGCAGGTGGTACCACAAACTAAATCAGTGCCTCTCATGGACGCTTTGTGTCATATTATAATGGAACTAAACAATCATAGAATTGTAGCCACGCTGGACACAATAAGGGAGAAATTACAATGTGCCTATCAAGATATACAACTTCCTACAGATAAACAGTTGTTTGATACGCTTGGAAATTTAATACGTGATAGAAAAGTTTTTCACACTGGTAGGTTGAATAATATTTTAACTTATTTATTAACAAAAAACTTGTATTTTTATTAATGATTTTGTTTCATTTGTTGATTTGTAATATTAAAAATATGATATTATAGCTCAGTTCACTGCAGATAATATAACAAAATGAAGTCATAACGAGATGAAACCTTGTGGTTTAGATTCAAAACGTAGAAGCTCAATAGACTCCAGCCTCTAACTGAACATCTGAAAGGATTCGTAACCTAAAATATTTGTAAAAAATAGAAATGATTCGATGCATTCTGATATAAATTTTGTTGTAAAAACGTATAAAAAATAATGTTTAAATTTGATAGAAATTAATTATGGGTAGGATCCTCAGCGAGTTGCTACAAGTTGCTACTGATAATACACGCAATCTATTTATCCATACCAGGGTGAGGTTTAAAGATCGATGGGGTCAAGTTAAAGTTAAATAAAAGAAGGAGGGAGGGAGGGAATAAATTGAAATGAGTGTAAGAAACAAGGGGTATGGAGTGTAAAGTTTTTATCTTCTATTAAAAAAATCTTTCCTCTAATTTATAATAATAACATGTTAGATGGTGTTTGGTTGTGAGAATTTTTATTTTTATTTTTCTCATGGAGTTGGTGGCATTGGTCTTATTTCATGTCTACATTTTGACTGCCAATTTGTGAATTGTTATTTTGATATGTGCATATACAAGACAGTTTCTTTCTGTGATTTATATAATATATAAATATACACCAGTACATATTATGTACTACACTTGTGATTTGAACTTCGACTTTTGGAATTTTTCCTGAATTTGGGTGAGCTGGCCTCGAGCTTCAGTATAAAAATGAGAAAGCAATATTTAAAATGTGTGGCCTAGACCAAGAATATGATGATAAAAAGGCGATTCCTGAATTCAGGTGAAATCTTGCCGTCATGTTTAGAATAAACTAGTATTTAAAATGTGAGGTGTAGACCGAGAGAGAGAGAGAGAGAGAGAGAGAGAGAGAGATAGAGAGTGAGTATTATGTTAGAAAGTTAAACCATGTTTCACCAGCTGTAATAGTTTATTCTAGTTTATTCTCACCAGAATATAATAATAGTTTACAGAATAACTAGAATAATACTCCTAATAGTTTTTTATTCTCCTGAGAATTTTGACATTTCAAAACACACACGTTGGGTCTAATGCATATTCTCGAAGCATCAAAACTGTTTTGCCATGAACCAAATGTGCAACATAATTTTTTTTTATTCCCTTGAGGCATTTGACAAGTTGAAACTTTCAGGACAGTTTAGAAATCTCTCTGACTCTCAAAATATCAGAACTGTTTTATCAAGAATATTTGACAATGTTAAAGTCTAAAATTAAAACCTACTTTACGAATCTCAAATCAGATTGGAGTACTACTTTCCCTGCAAGATCAAAAGTCTAAAATCAAATCTGACTTAACGACTCTCGAATCAGAATGTTAAATGTCTTAATTTATTTAATAATTTAGTGGAAAACATATTGTCATGTTAAAATTAAAACTAAAATCTTCTTAATGACTCTGCAATCAGATTGAAATAATTCCACTGCTAAATCTAAAATCAAAATCTACTTTACAACTCTTAAATCAGAATGTTAAATGTCTTGATTTATATGAAGGAATGAATAGTTATTGTCATGTTAGAGTTAAATTAGAGATGTGCTTTACAACTCTAAATTCAGATTGAAAGAATACTTCTAGTCAAAGTCTAAAATTGAAACCAACTTTACGACTCTCCAATCAGAATGAATTTCATTGCGCTTCATTTCTCAGCCTTTAATTTGGCGTATTTAAACATGCATGATGGGAGTTTTTATATTTCTCATCTTCGTTGAGTTTTATAGCCAGTCTCTTATCGTTCTCCCTTTCATGTTTCCATTCCGTTTTTCGCTCGTGCAATTTTTTCTGACATAAACCGTCTTAATTTACATAAATTGTTTTGATCTTTGGGCTGATTTTGATTCGATATTTGGAAATGTTTGACAAGTTAATTTCACACAAACAGAAAAAAATCAAAAATAATCTTCACGGACTTTCTCGTATTTTGGCGAAGGCCGTCAAGTGGAAGAGACGTAATTAGTGAGAACAAGATTGACCATTGACGAAATTTAGTTGTCAGTTTTTTTGTACAGTTTATTTTCCCCTGGGCTTGTTTAGTTGATCAGAAATAGACAGGACACAACATTGATATGATGGGGTTTTACAGGAATCAGAAATAGAAGGTCGAGAATTTAATTATATAAAAAGAATAATTCTTATGAAATATAAAATCAATATGAAATATTCTGGAGAATTAATAGTTGAATGGGTTAAAAGTAGCCATTTTGATGATTTTTATAAACAATTTGTAGGTAAATTCAGGTTAGTAGTACAGTACAGTTAGTTTGTAGTGTTCGATTTTTGTTGCATATTTTCACAATTTACGATATATTTATCAGATTAAGACTCAGCCTGGGACCTTATTCTACAAATTCTAAAAAGACTGAAAAGATATTTTTATTCTCATGTGTTATTGATAGTACTGAATCGTACAATTTCAGTCGTACATTTTGTCTAGCTTTCTTGACTTGACCATGTTTTTTTGTACAATTAATATCCTGAATAAGGACTTTATTACACTAATAACTTCTCCTAATATCTTCTTGTTATAGTTAAAACTACAGACTAGAGACATCAAATATGGACTGAATATGGTTTTTATTGCATGGAAAATGAATAAGAATTTCTGAATAGTGTACAACATACCAAAATACATTTAACAACATTTAACACCCCACAATCACCTTTTCTTTTTAATGTTACACCTGCCTTAGCTCTCTGTTGTACAGGAAGGTCTTGTGGGTGGGGAGTAATTTAATTTTTGAATAAAGTAGAGGTTTTATATAGATAGCATACAACATATCTAAAGTTGTTACCAACAAATAAATCAGAATGTCAGGGAAATTCTTTCATTGATATTAAAACAGCACATTATTTCAATAGTCATAAAATTTCAATGCTTATTTCACTAGTGTCAAAATTACTTAGAATTTCTGTTGACCATAATGAGCAGGGATGGAAAAGGATCAGGAAATTTTCTTTTCTAAATATTCAAACGATACCTGATGTATAATATTTAGTTGTACCGTAGTACCATACCACGTTCACACGAATACAATACTATTTCACCATTGTCCAAAAATAGCTTAGAACTTCTGGTGAATATGTTTTGTGGGGGAAGGAAAGGGCATGAGGGGACATCCTAGATCTCAAGTTATCTTTAGTACACAAATCATTACACCTTTGTTTAGTCATAAAAGACAAATGAAAAGCGGATTGCTAATTTTTATTACGTTAATAGTTTCAAGATTGTCATTCCATGTCAACTTCAACAAATGCTGCAATTTCTGCAGACGGCTAAAAGTTTGTTATGAAATGCTATATATATGTCTTGTGAATGGCTTTATAATGATTCAAATACATGTTTGGTGTGTGATGCATTTATTTATTCTTTAATTCATTCATTTATCATATTTATTTCACCATTCACTCATTCACTCATTCATTCATTCACTCATTCACTCATTCATTCATTCACTCATTCACTCATTCACTCATGCCATGTTTTTTCACGTTATTTTTTAGAAACACCATTTCATGGTAAGTTCCACCATCTTGCATCATTTTACTAAAAACATTTAAATTGTATTTATAGTGTAGTCGTTCTGTTTTAGTTTTATTATGTAGATTTTCTGTTTCTTTGCACTTTAAAACTTGGCTTTTTTGTTTTGACCAAATCATTTACAACTTCAAATATGAAAAAACAACATTTATTCCACAAAACTTGATTATTTTGACTCAAGATCTGTTTTTCATTTTAAATGATGAAAATTTAAGGATTAATTTGAAAATGTTGACCATGAAAATGCGTCATTCTGCTTAAAATGCTTATTAATGCTTATTAATGCTTTATTTAACGCTTGTATAGCTAAAAATAATAACTAAATGTTGTTTAAAGTTTTTAGATGTTGTAGTTTACAGCATGTTGTTTTATTGATGTTGTTGTTTATAGCATGTTGTTTTATTGATGTTGTTGTTTATAGCATGTTGTTTTATTGATGTTGTTGTTTATAGCATGTTGTTTTATTGATGTTGTTGTAGAAAATTTAAAATACTTAAAAAACCTAAAGAAAATTGAGTTCCACTATAATTAGTACCATGGAGGGAGTTGCTTGCAAGACAGGACACCCGATATCAATCTCTGACTTTGTTTATCAACTCTTATAACCTTTTTAAGTCAAGTCCAATAACTTTGAGTCCCAACATAAGTATTGTGGTGGGTATTACTATCAAGTCAGGGTTTACACCTCTAGAACACCTGATGTTACTTGACGATGTAATTTCTGGGCTTGATCTCATATTGAAAATATTATATAGAATAGTTCATTAATCAAGATATTTCAAATGGTATATAAAAACATAAACCTTAAACAAAATGATATTTAACTCTTAAGAATTCGTCTTGTTAATTTCTAATTCTGTAAAACTTGTTAAGATTTTAAATTCTCTTTATTTTGAAACTAGACCACTACCCTAGAGTCTAGTCTCAGCATGAAAATTCTCTAATTTCACCACAATTTGTAGTAAAACAACAATTTTAGCAGATTGTTATCTTGAAGTAGATTACATTACCTATATTTCTATAGAAACCGTAGTTTTTTTTTATTGAAATCTACGATATTTAAGTTACATCATCTCTCACCTCCCTCCAGGTTCGATATCACTATATCATACTGGTAGAATAATTAACACTATTGTCTTATCTTTTAATTATAATAACAGAAATATTGTGGTGAAATATCTTTTCCATTAGATAAATTATTACTTAATTTCTAATTTTCAATTTAACTTGGCAATGTTCCCCTCATCACACACTTAATGGAGTTGCATTGTTTATCTTATAATAGTAATTCTTTCAGTGGGATAAATTATTACTCAATTCTTGATTTAA